CATAGTTTGTTAATAGTTTGTACATATTGTTCAATAAATCTTGTTTATCAACTTCTTCCTAGATTCCGCAAGGGTCATGCTCCATCCAATTCATTTCGAAGACTATTACTTCTCTTATTAATTTCTACAAGCACAAATACTGGAAAATGTTGCGATGTAGTGACGTAGAATATAAACTGAATAATGTGGAATAAGGAGACTCATCCAGATCCACTATGAGAAGTAACCGGAAACGCAGATCGTTTCAACCAACCGCTAAGATTTTTTTGCAAGTGAGGAATGAAAAGTAATCATTTTCATTTTATCATTCATTCAGCTGAAGAACCGGTTGTGCTGCAACTCGCAGATATTGAAAGTTGGAGAATGCTCCATTTTGTTTTGTTTTCAGAAACTGAAGATTCGCATTCTAATTGCTCAGTAAGGTGGATGTCAAAAAGAAATTATTCAGCTTGATGACTGTTCTCTGTATCTTGTGATGCAATGAAACGCGAAGTAGCAGTGTAGCTTTGGATCAAACAAAGTGAAAGAGGTTTGACCACGAGCGATATCTCCTTGATCTTCTGATTTACAGAGGGGTCGTGTATTTCAGCTGACGATACCATAAGAACAGTAGTGAGTTCTCTCTTTTCTCATATAAGTTCATGATAAGCATGCCCTTTCGGTGAATCACTTTTCGCTTTCATCAGGATTCCGTTGAGCATGCCTATCGAAAGGAACAGCTATGTTGTCTGTTATCTGTTACATGTTATCGATTTGAGAAACATTTAATGAGAGTTAACTTAATGTTAACAGTTATCAAGAAAATAGATCGTTATACCCAATGTGTACTTCATTCTTACATTATTCGTCGGTGTTCGTACATATTCGGTTCATTTTAAGGTCATTAGCTTATCACCTTATCAAAAAGAACCCTCTACGTCATCTAAACAGCAAGCTGAACAAAAACATAAACGCAAAAGAAATAGAGAGGTTATGATCAACGATCACCACTGCAAACAAGGATGTCGACAAATATGGAGAAGGATGGCATCTAACTCGAAAGAAATCGAGTAGGCAATGCACTTAACTTTGACGTGTCATGTTATTGTTCCCCGAGAAGATGGTCGAGACACCTCAGCTAGCAATGTCATGTTTTGCCGATGTGTGTCCTTGTGCAGTGCCACGTGTGTTCTGTAGACATTTTCCGTGGCGCTTCCGAATCATTCCAGGTGAGGTTGCTATAAATAATCTGTTCCTTGTCCATGTGAAATCCACGTAGAATGCTTTTTGAACGTTAAGGCGTGAACTATCATATTGAATTTCAGTAAATAAACTGCTGAGAGACTTCAAACTTCACTTATCAGCGGAACTGAGTCGTATCAATATCATTTTATGAGGGTTAGAAATACTTTGAGACATGATGCACAGTCATATGAGAAGCTTATGGGGATCAAGATAGAGATCAAGATTGTTTGATTGAAGCTAACGTTGGAAGGGATAGATGTTGTGAGGATGCTGTCGGAACGTATCTGAAGGTTTCTGTAATCTATCGAAGAGGAAATCGTTTCAACTCTTTTTGCAACTTCAACGCTATCAGTTTGCAAAGTGTTGTAACAAGAACACAGGGTCGTTCTAGTCTTTCACAGGTGGCAGTCGGCAAATTTACGTTATCCTACAAATACGCTATGCAAACAGTAGCTCCGAATCTCGTTCATTTTGACTGTGAATCGACCTGGTTAGTTGAACCTTCCCATTGAAGTTCCATTGATAAGATAGTTTGTGTTTTTATTTTTATTTTCCAATTGTTTCAAACAACTGTTGATAATCAGCTATGTACCTTGTCTCATAACCTAAATTTTTTGTTTAAAAATATTTATGATAGTTACTTTTACTGTTATCAACTCACGTGCGTCTCTATTCTTTTCAAATAACATCTGGCTAGTCAAGTGATTGATCTTCAGTCAGCACGTGAATAGTCCAGTCCGGCCCGTTTAACCCGTTTCTGATATCATTTTATGGAAAGCAGTCATTGATCTGCGATCTTGGGGAGGACATTCGTCTTTCGCATGCCTTACAGATCGTGGCATTCAACCTATAATAGCATGCTGAAACATCTCCCACTGCTAGCCTCCTCACTTTTTTACAATTGAGGAGATAAAAATCAATATTTTCAAATTCGATAAATGTTTGGAAAATCAAGTAACAAGTGAATTTAAACTCATTGTGTTAGATCACATAGTCTTCATTCTGAAAATGTATTTCTCATGTTGCTTGTTGATGTCAATCTTGTTTTTCAAAATTGCCAAAAAAAGTACGCAAATAGACGTTTATGCTAATCCTTGCTTGCGGAACTTTGTCTTTCCGAGCAGGGTCGTGATGGCCGTTAGGCTATTTACTTTCAAAAATTCGCAGCCGCATAGTCTTTCTCTTCTTTTTTTTTGATTATATTTGATTAATTGGCAGCAATATACATGTGAGAGTGATGAAGAGGAGAGACGAAGTTGATAAAATTGAATGAGCAAGAGCAACTTGCTAAAATAATTGCAGCGGTGCATTGCTTATCTAATCACATTTTCATTTGATTATCAACACTTCGCTTTTGTTGCTGTGTAACCATGCTAAGGAACCACACAGTTCGTACTTGGTTCCTTTACCATATCTGTATGCTGCTTAGTGTGTTCGCATAGAATATGAAATCTCTGAGAAGCACTTTAGTTCCAAAAAATTAAACGTTTAATGACACTTTCTCCTGTCCATCACGTGTGCGGCAATTTAGTTGGTTTTTCTATCACAGCTGCCTTTCAACCCCAATCACATGCCATCATCTCGTTCATTGTAAAATAGTGTTTGAGCTGTGTCTGCTCGATCCGGTTGCGCATCCCGAATTGATATTGCACTCAAGCTATATCTTATTTATTTAGTTTTTTTTCTTTCGTCTTGTAAAAAAGTTACTGTGATAGGTTTTGTTTGTCATTTAAGATGTTTAAGATACATACAAATTTCCATTTCATCATTTTCGTCATCATCATCAATAACCCTCTCGCCCATCACGATCGATGATTTTTTGTTTCAAGCGTTAACGCATTTTCAATCGATATTTCGTAAATAGATTTTTCTCAGACTTTGAGGTTGCCATCGTTGAACTTGTAGGGCAGTCATACGTTGAAGCCATTGTTACATCTGTTCATTTTTCATTATTTGCAAATGCTGATGTCCAGAACGGTTGCATTTCATTTTCTCTCTTCCTCCTCTCATTCTCGCTCTCTTCTACTTTTGTAGACAGGGGCAAAGAACATTCAGCGTCAGTCTCAATAAATCGAAAACAACCGTGTTTTTTCGAATTTGTTGAACCTTGTTTCCTCTGATATCTTTTAATTTGTCAATTCCCAGAAATTTGCACTCTACACTTGTCTCGATCCACAGCTTTTTTCATAATATCAGTTGACCTATAAACAACTTTACGCAACTCGTTGTATCTCGTATCTCTTCCTCGGATTTCTTACATTCTTTCTCTTTCAGATTTTATTGTAAATTTTATACGAAACCCTCATGTATCGGTTACTTGTTACGGGGCCGGCAGGAAGTGGCAAAGGCACAATTTGCCGAATGCTCTTGAAAGAGTATGAGAATTTCAATTATTTTTCCGCCGGAGACGTTATCCGGGATCATGTGAAACGAGGCACAGGTTCGTTATCAATCATGTGAAACAAGATACAAAAAAAGTGGCTTTTACTTCGTTTATCAAGAACGTAAACTTGTTTGAACATGTTACGTTTCGTTTCGAACAATCTGAGTTGAACTGTTTGCAGATTTCGGACAAAGAGTAGCGTCGTTCATCAAAAAGGGAGAGCTCATTCCTGATAGCTTACTGAATGACTTATTATTACAACGCGTAGTTCAAGCTGGAAATAAAGTTATATTAGATGGTGAGACTTTGAAACCTCAGAACAAGTTTTCATTTTCCTGCTCTTTCCAGGATATCCACGTTCGTTGCATCAAGTAAAACTGGTAGAGGAAGTTGCTCCAATTAATCTTGTCGTAGAATTAAAAGTTTGTTTTCCATATAAGCATCAATCAATAGCTTGTTCAGGTACCCAAAAAAGTTTTAATCGATAGAATGAGCAAACAATTAGTTCATCCAGGATCAGGAAGGACATACAATTTAGATTTTAACCCTCCAAAACTAGAAGTGAGTTTGCTCTTCGTCACCCCTTTAACTCTACGTTCTCATTAACAGGGTAAAGACGACATCACAGGTGAATTATTAGTCAAACGAGAAGACGATGCCTCAGAGATTGTGCGAAGGTTTGTCATACCACTCATATACAATCCTCATCTTCCATTTTCAGGCGCTTAGAAGTTCACGAGAAGACAGAAGCTAAGGTCCTCGACTATTACAAGTAACTTTAGATATTCACTGCATTTGCTAATCTAATGTTTTCAGAGATAAAGGTTTATGTCTATCGGTGGCAGGGGACACGTCTACGAACGTTGTTTCTCAAATTTGTGAAGCTATGAATGAACAGTTGAAGAAGAAGCGATTTGGTTAAAGCTTTGATCTCCCTAATCATGAAGTCAGAGGAAGTGTTGCCTTGTCTCAAGGCGTATTCAATATATACTTGCTGTTGTTTCGATTACTCTTCACATTACGAGTTATTGTTCTTAAATTTTCCGCTGATCACCCCTGTGCATTATTTTACATCTTCTTTCGCTACGTGTAGCTTCTACAGATTTTTTTAGTCACCAAAATATTAATGACGAGTTATGTTAGCTCATGTTGGTTTAGATAATCAAGAGGTCAATAAAGAATTTTTCACTCAAACATGTTTTTATTTGTAAATCAATAGCTTACTTCTGTCCATCCATCAACGAATCATGAAGCCTATCTAAGGTCAACAGAATGAGCAATATAAACTAAACTCTTACGCAAGTATTAGCTAGACAGCTATCGAGTGTTGAATGTTATCGCGCTCTAATGCGAATTCGTTTGTATTGGAGCAAAGATTGCTTTAGCCATGATTTTAGCTCAATCAAATTTGTTTAAGATATTTTTTTAAATACTACTTGTTCTCAAACTGTTGTTTCAAGGCTATGGTTTTCCGTAAATACAAAGCCGTCAAACAATGGGGGAAGATGGACACTCGAATATTCAAAGAAATTTTGAATTCTCGTAACAATCGCAAAATGCCGTCTTTCCAAATACCGGATGCCGTGAAGGTTTGTGAGCTTTACTCGAACTCAAATCATGCTCGTTTGTGCTCAGGCATCAGGAGTACAGGTTCATGATCCTAATACTCCTGGATTTTTCTCTAGTGACGCTGTAAAAAATGATAGAGTAGCTCATCCTGCTTTTCGAGCCACTGGTATTGAGGTTTGCCCGTCTGAGTGATGGGGGAAGTTAAAACTTTAAAATTCAGGAGCATCCTTTATATCATTCAATTAGATGTTACTTATTTGATGGCTCTGAACCTATGAGCGATGGAGTTTCACAAGCAGCATGCTTATCTAAGGCCGTTGTTCACCACGGCCTCCCACAGACAGTCCTTCATGCCCAACATGGCAGTGATCTGAACGAACAGAATGTGAGTCACAGTCTATCTTACTTGTTAGTTTTGTGTCTTGCTTAGGTGGCTGATGCTATTTTACATGCAGAACGCTATGATCCAACATTAGAAAAGCTCCCTCGGCGTTTTGACCCAATTCTTTTCTGGGTGAAGCATCCCAGAGTTCATGGAACTCCAGTAATCAGAAGAAAGTTCGTCCTATGCTCAGTTTTTTTAAATTTTCTCTTTGTTTAGTAACATAATCCTCGAAAATTTAACACGGCATTTGACATTAGCTGGACTTCATTCCGGAAGAGTTACTGATTACTTGAGGTAAGTAATTCTCTCTCTCTCTTTGTAGCACATACAATTTTTTTTAAGAATTGATCGTGATGAACCAATCAGCGCTTTCCTCCAAGCATCCCCACATTTCAATATCAGTCCTTTCGTTATGAGGTTCCAACCACACTTGACTCTTCAAGGTGAAACTGCTATAGCTCCATGGGCTAATAAGGAGGAGGTTGAGCGTTTCAAGTAAGACAGCGATTTGTTTTCCGAACACTGATAGTTTTGTAGCGCTGAAGCCATTCCTGACATATATCCACTCTCACCTATTATTGATCTCGGTTCTGATCACATTTATAATGAAGACGCTGTAGTTTCTCGATCAACTTCGAAGCTCTCATTACATACCCTTCTATGGAGTAGGGAACAAGATCAGAAGTATCCTTGGACAAAGTAAGTCAATGTTACTTGATGTATTCATAGTTATGATACTAGGGAACAAAATGCTGCCAATGCTATTCTTCACACATTCGGTGCTGCCGTAACAGAAGCCATGAGGAACCCTAGAGATTTACAAAAGAACCCAGTGGTTGGTTTAACTATTCGAACTTGAGCATTAAAAACTTTGTTTAAGCTCGTAAAAGGCGTTCAACTAGTTGATGGGAAAATGGATCTGGTGGCATTCCAATTGAACACTTTGGATTTGTCAGCTGAAAATGGAGTGAAAAATATTGTTTGGATGGAGAAAGGTCAGTTTGATTAGAGAAATGTAGTGAAGTACGATGTCTACTTAAGGAATTCGTTTATATAAAAATAAGCCATTCTATGAGAATTTGGAGGAAGTAGAGGATCTGAATATGGAAACTGTCCACAAGTTCTCAGCCCTCCTTCTGAATCGTTGATTTCTTGTTGAGTTTGTGTATCTATAGGTCGAAGATTAGAAGATTTTGTTCATTGTTATCTCAGATATTTATAATATTTTTGAAATTCGTACTTCTCCCTGTTTTCGCGGTCTTTTCCGTACATGGAACTACCTAGTCTTCTTGTCGTTTCCGTTTTTCCAAACCTTTCTTTCAGTCGGATGAGTGATTTTTTAACAACCAAAAAGCACATAGGTTTCCTACTTCGTCATATTAGTATCTTCCCGGAAAACTATTCCTGTTTGGAAACTAATCAGTCAGTTTTTCCGATACTTCTACCTTTCTCACTTTAAGCTTTACAGAGCTACTCTCCTCTTCTTCGGTGTTTCAGCCCTTGATATATTGAGGGAACTTGACCCTGTACTAACTGATAGCCGAAAAAAGAATATTGTCGATTGGATTTACAAACTCCAGTTAACTTCTTCTTCTGGTTGAGTTTCCTTTTACTGTTACTAGTCCATCCCTTCCTATACTCATTTTCTATTTTTTCTTTTTGTTTTTTCTCTTACCATGTCTTTCTTATTCAATGATCCCATCATCCCTGATCCTGGTCTCGTCCATTCCGGGTATAGAGGTACCGGAGGTCTTGCCATTGCGCCAGACGGAAAATTCGTTCCTCACTACAACTTAGCTGCTATTACGAATCGAAGTTTTGTAACTGAGCTAGGCTTCATAGAGGGTTTGATCCCCCCAAGTTTGCCTGAGGTATATCTCTTCGAAAAACACATTCCTACTCTCTGATATTTATAGAGAACCTGGTTCAAACATCCTGGCCATTTTAGAGGTGATAGGAAGTTGAATCAATTGCGGGAGCATAACTTGTTGGCAACTCATAAAGCTGATGATGAATTGGTTATATGGATGATCAACGAAAGCTCAGATCAAACAATGGTCGAAGAGTTCAGAACTCAGGTTCGATTTGCGTTTTTTTCCTTTTAACTGGTCGGCTCAAGGCTACTATGGAGGACAACGATTGGGCTCTATCAAGAGATGTGAGAGTTTCTCATACCTATTCGAACGAAGATCCGGTTGAACAGCTTAGGTCTTGTAATATTCCAAATAAGGCCTTATGGATGAGACACAAGAGGAAACTTTCATGTCTCAGTAGCTCTTTCGAAGAATCGTTTACTGTTTTCCAGGTAGGAGGTTTATTTGATAAAAGTATAGTTAGAATATATGGTTCAGAGCTCAATCAAAACTTTCGAAGAGCACAGATATCTCGAAGGAGAAGTTTATATTCTTGATATAAGCGGAATGTTATGGAGCGGAGAAGTCGGTCATTCCCTTGGAAGGACCAAGAACGGAGTTGGAGACTGCTTGAATGTAAAGCTTTGAGTTAAAGTTTTATTACAATTTCTTTCTTTCTTCAGCTTGTGACTCAATCGGAACACCCTCGTGTTGTTTTTGGAGCCGACGAATTTCAAATCAGAACAGTTGATATTCGTGAGGATACGACGGCGACATCACAGTTGCTGTTTGAAGTTCCTAAAAATGAGCATAGAGTAAGATTGTTACCATATATTCCGAATGTCTAAGCCGTTTTTTAAGGTTTTTTACGAAGACGAATATATTCAAACACCAATCGTTCATATGAAAACCATTCCAAACAAGGAACATTACATTCTAGCTTTGAATGATCGTTATCTCTACCTGATTGATGAACGATTTCCTCGTAGCGTTCTGCTCACTCAAAATCATAGTATCCCCCAAGGTGGTCATGTCTTCCTCTGTGCTGAACCAGTGAATGATTCTCCAAATGGTGACCGAGCAATCCATAATCAGTTTTTCTTGGATCATGGTGCAACTGGAGTATGGATTTCAAGTATCTACGAACAACCGTCAAAACTATTCTCGTCCATTCGACCAGTTCATCAACTACGTGAACCGAAAGATGCTTTCTCTGTTCTGGCACCGCCTAAGCAAGCATCTCCGTATCAAGCAGACTCACCTCCTCGGGCTATATCTGTGGTTCAAGGCTTCAAGGATAAAAACAATCGTAACATTGATGTCCTTGTTAGAGCACTAGACGATGGTGCAGTCTTGTATTCAAAGCTTCTATACGGAGAGGTCGGATTAAAAGAAAATCAGAACTCTTTCAAGCAGAGTCGTAGAAGGTTCATGGACTGGGTTAACGATGCTGCAGACGAGATGGAATCTTGGGGTCGTTATTATAAATCTGCAGATCGTGAGAATGTTTGCACGACGGTACGAAAAATTTTGCTTTGCGTTGATGAATTCAGTATTTCAGATTTGTGTACAACACGATGTTCCAGAGATGGACGAGACCTGGGATGCTACAGATTCCCATCCCTTAAATTTCCAACCTGTAGATACTGGATGTCACTTGAAAACTCTTATTCCCCCTAACTCTAATGCTATAATTTCTTCTAGCATCTTGTCTTTGTGGAACTCTTTGAGATGATTTTTGTTTGATCTCATAGTTTTTTTGATAATTTTTTAAAATAAAACCTTCCTTCAGATCTTCTCTCCTCCCCTAACGTGTTTCCTTCCATCTACTTATCTTCAAATCTTCCAGGCTCTGAAATCTGTGGTTTTCGAGGTACTCTAGGATGTTCGAATACTGAAGGAGTTCCAGGACCAGAAGGATTTGATGCCGCTAATCTTGCCCAAACTTACAGGTTTTTCACTTTTTATTGAATATACTTCTGAGCTCAAGTTTTCAGCTCTCTCTTATCATTGGCTATTGTTGGAGACGACTTCACCAGAGTAGATAAACACGGAATATTAGAAACTATCAAGAAATCACAAAAAGAAGATGGCAGGTTTGTTTTGTCATTTTCCGCTGTCGCAATAAGTTGTTCAGCTTCTGGAGCCAAGGCCCAAATTCAGAGAGTGACATGAGATTCGTTTACTGTGCTGTAGCCATTTGCCATATCTTAGGCGACGAGACTGCGATAGATTGGGATAAACTAGCCAAATTCATTCGGGACTCTTTCAACTATGATGGAGGACTTGGCCAGCTCCCAGGAAACGAAAGTCATGGCGGTTCAACATATTGTGCAGTCGCTTCTTTGGCTCTAGCCAACAAGCTCTGGAACCAATCCGTTCTTTCAAACAAGGAAATCGAGCGGCTGATCAAATGGGCATTGTGGAAACAGAATGAAGGGTTCCACGGTAGAGCTCACAAACCCGACGACAGTTGTTACGCTTTCTGGATAGGAGCTACTCTTGAGGTAAAAAGTTTTCTTTCAAACAGTTATCATGGATACTGTACTTTTAGATTCTGAATGCTCACCCTCTTGCCAATCAAGAATCGTTGAGGAAATTCCTCATGGTGTCTCAACATAAAGCATTTGGTGGCTTCTGTAAAGTGCCAGAGGAAGGATCATTCTCAGGTTTTTCTGCCAAAATGTTCCATGGGCTGATCTAACAATCATGTTCCTTTCAGACATTTTGCACACTTACTTCTCCATTGCTGCTTTATCACTGCTCCGCGAGCCCACTTTCGGTCCTGTGTACGCTCCTCTGAATGTGTCTCGCAGAGCCTACGAACATATTCTACGCTCACAAAAGAAAATGAAATGATACGTTTTTAGTTTGCTTTTTTTAAAGAATTATGTTCCTGACTGACATTGTTTTATATCATTCCGGCACTTCATTAAATTATTGCTTTCATAACCTCTTGCATTCATCTGATAGTGAGGTTTCATCCTGATTCGTACTTGCCTTCTCTCATCTGACTCAACCATTTCTCTCTAGTTCTATTTAGATGCAACGGGTCCCCTTAATTAGCCCGGATTTGTCACAAGAAGAGTCCGTTTTTAGAATATTAGAATCTATCAAGAAGTTCCAACAGGTTTGAACACTCTCGCACACTTGACTTCGCGTTTTTCAGGCCACAGACTCAGTCTTCGGCAGAGTTACTGATAGGATTGATAAACTGAACAATGAATTAGATAAAATTAATGAAAGGACGGAAGCTGTTCAACAAACCCTAACCACACTGCAAAACGTAGGCGGAAAATCTTTTTCGATACGAGAGAATGTTCTATTTCAGACGAACAAACTTATAACGTTAACAGCTCCATCGCGGTTCCCTTCTTCAGAACTCGAGCCAACTTCACGGATTTTTCCAGCTTGCATTGGGCTTTTAACCTCTCATGAAGGTAGTATTCTGAATAGAAACAAGTTCAGCTTTTCTCTTACTCAGAAGACTCAGCAGAGTTCAAGCCGAAAACTTCTAGCCGATTGGAGGATATAAAATTATTGCTCAATGAAAAGAAACAGTTTTTCTCAGCTAACCAACTCATCGCTCCGGAGAAAGAGAAGCCGAAAAGTAAATTCTTGTATGCCATTCTTCCATTTCAATCCCTTCTTCAGCTCGTGAAGTTCCAAACGATTTGACTTCGGTTACTAACCTGTTTTTCCATAACTCTTTCGATGTTGCTTTTGATGGAGTTCAAGGTGAAGGCCTTCAGAAGAAAGTCAGGAAATCCAAAAGTGTTGCTTCCAAGTATTTTCTTCACATTTGTTTTTTTGCTCAAAAATTATTTCACAGAAAGGATAATGAGAGTGATCTCCTACCTGATACAACGGCGTTCGGCAAAAAAGTGGATGTCGAAGATCCGTTCGCGTATAAACACGAAATGGCGCCTCTACCCGAGTTGGACTTACCTGATATCTTACCTGATCTTCCTGGTAATGCTGCTTCTTGGTTTTTCTTCATGCTTCCATCATTTCAGATATTGCATCGGACTTAACGATCATAGGTTTCCAGAAAGACTTCTCATCTCGTTCGTCTGAATCTAATTTGGGCAATGATGACTTGTCCAGTAGTCTTCTCGATCTAGATGTTCTTTCCCCAGTGTCCAGTTCACCATCATTAAATGTTCAAGCAGCTCCTCCACCGCCACCAATGCCTCCACCACCTCCTCCGCCTCCGGCACCTCCTGCACCTCCTGCCCCAGCTGCACCAGCTCCTCCTGCTATACCTTCTCTTTTGGCGCCTCCTGCACCACCACCACCTCCACCATTTTCACTTTCTACGAGTACCCCACTGGCTTCTACTTCGTATGGTTAGTTTTCGTGGTATTAACTGAAACCTAATCTGTTTCTTAAGCTCCTCCTGCTCCACCTCCGCCAGCACCAACTTTGTCACCAACGCCTCCTGTGCAACTTGATTCTCCTAGGTAAACGAATTGACACCTTTTTTTTCTATTTGGAGATCTTTCAGAGACGATTTGATGGCGGCTATTCGAGCTGCAGGAGGTTCTTCGAATGCGAAATTGCGTTCTATCAGCAAAGCAGAGGCTAAATCTCGTCCAAATAAGGCAATTAATCTCATTTGTGGAGAGCTATGTAATTGTTTCAGGAAAAGCAGGCGTTAAATGAAACTAGTGCATTGTCAAAGAAACCAGACGGAGGAGATTTGATGTCTGCATTGGCCAATGCGCTCAATGCTCGCAGAAAAGGTAATTTTCTCAAGGTCTTGAAAAACTCTAAACACCATCTTAGCAATATCAGGCTCTGGAGATAAACCTGCTTCTGCAGGAAAAATGCCAGGTGCTTTAGGTAAAATGAGTGAGTTGATCCCTGCACTTCCGGCTGATGATGACCTCTCGACGAACGAGAATGACGAGGAAGATTGGGACTGAAGGAATAATATGTACATAAATAGAATAATTGTAGAAACTAATTGCTCAAAAAGTCTTTGTGCTTCATCTGTGATCGATATGCGGGTGTTTTTGAACTTGTCTCTTAAGTATCATACGAACACATCTCTTTTTCATAAATTTTTATTTTCCTCTCCATTTGCCTGCAAAAATGGTTGTTCATTACCATTCTCATACTTATCAAACTGACTTCTATCATTTATTCATATAGTTTTTGATTCTTGGATGAAAAAGAAATCCCATCCTAAGGTTCCACTCGAAGACAATCCAACACCTGCACCACATCCAGCTCGAGGTACGGAATGTTTAGTTTTACCTTTTCATTTCATCTTTGAAGGAGTTTATGGGTTTGCTCTCTACATTGTTTCTTGGTGCTTACTAATTTGCTACTTATTCTGGGCTATCGTTCCTACTCCAATACTCAATAGATTAGGTAAATGTTGATGATGCACATTAAACGCTCACTTGTACAGGTATCACATACGTGCCTGCAAAGTATTGGGCTATTGCTGGTCCTTTGCTTTTTCCTCTTGGTGTGACATCTTACGTTTGCATTATATTCGGAATAAACATAATCCGATTCCGTGGATATAGAATTTTGGATAACGTTGAGGTAGTGGGGAGGCTTCGTAACCGTTCCAATCATATATTTCCTACAGTACATTGAGCACGATTTTGGAGAACGTGCCGGCTTCCAAGGATTGCCCGCTGAAGAAGCTAGGCTAGAGCTGATTAGCAAACGTAAATCTTATAACATCGATAAATAAATACAATCACGTTCTATTACAGTCGCTGTAAAATGAATCGGCTTACGGCTCTTCGTTTCTATTCGAGGAAAACACAAAAAAAAGTTTATAATACTATTGGTCCTTCGCGGGGTTCACAGGTACAGATTGTGATGATTTTTTTAAATAAAACTTAACTGACGTTTGTTTGTGAATTAACAACCGCTACACGCAGCAATTCATTTCAAAATGAAGCTGTTTACGTTATGTTCACGTGGCGTGAAACGTGAGAGATGTTACGTGAAATTCCACGTGAATAGTAGAAAACACAATTAGACGTCATTATGTGCATTTGTAGGTGGGAGAAATACATCGTAGATTAGCCGAATTATCTCGAGAAGAGCCAGAGAGACCCAGCAATTACAATGTTGAGTCTATGATCGGAGAGAAATTGTTAAGGTACGTTGAGTATTACATAAGTTCTGAAGAATTGCCTTATAGACAAGATAGTAACTTTTACAAAGTAGAGGAAAAGAGAGCAGATGAAGGAAAACTCTATGAATCAAAGGAAACTCCAAAGAGCAAACAAGTTTCGTATCCATTGAAGGGAATACAAGTAGAAACTACAAACACACAACCAATCGAAGAGAAAGAAGGTTGCTTCTTCAAATTATTTTCTTTAAATCACCAGCATCTTGCAGAACGGTCTTCCTCACAGTTCGAGAGAGGATTCTTCATTGATTCAGGCAAGTATGTCGATGAATACACTGCTGGTAACGCTGAAGATATAGCCGATGATGAGCTTGTCATGTAAATCACACTTTGTTTTGCACTATTCTATTTAACTCATTGAAGGTCCACTCGATCTGTTTATGGGCCAACAGATGCTGTTGAGCACATCGATTTTCAGCTCCCCCATCAAAACTTGAATGAGAAGGATGAGTTATCAGCATTCGCTGATGAACCTCTGGATATCGCCGACCATTTCGGAACTGCTGATCCTGAGAGAGCAGCTTCAGAAAAGCCTTGTTCAGGTTGTGGATCTCATATACACTGCAAGGTTTGCATTCTAATCTTTCTGACAATTGATCCAAATCACATTTACAGGACAGTTCGCTTCCAGGCTTCCTGCCTGTTGAAGTTTTCGACAAAGTTATAACGAAAAAGAAAATGTTGGATAGTCTGTTATGTCGACGTTGTTATCTGTTGAAGCATCATAACTTCCTTGTAAGACGGTTTAGGCTTCGAACAAACTATCATATTATTTCCTAGTTGAATGTTAATGTTTGTCCAGTGGATTACGAATCCATGATGTCACATCTCAAACTGAAAGATGAGTCTCTAATTCTTCTGGTGGTTGACGTAACTGATCTCCCTGGAAGTATTCATGCACATCTACCCAACATAATTGGAACACGTAAACCTATGATAGTCATCGGTGAGTAAGACTACAGTTAATAGTACTGATAATTTTTAAAGGAAACAAAGTTGACCTGCTTCCGCCTGATGCTCAATGTGGTTATTTCAAAAACTTCCGAACAATTGTTCAAGAAGCAGTGGAAGAGGCAGGTTTCAGAGACAAGTTCAACATCCTGCACACTGCTCTAGTCAGTGCAAAAACAGGATATGGTGTCGAGGATTTGATTACTGTATAACCTTCACTTAGCTTCTTATCTACATTTTTTCTACTTTAGGAAATTCAATTGAAGTATACAACTGTCAAGATGGGCATGAGGAGCGATTTGTATCTTGTTGGTTGTACGAATGCTGGAAAATCGTAAGTGAACTTATCTCTCGAGAGTTTGAAAATCTTTTTCCGTAAAGGACATTGTTCAATGCACTTCTCCAGTCAGATTTATGTAAAGTTCGTGCTGTTGATCTCATTGAGAGAGCTACCACCTCACTCTGGCCCGGGACCACCGTAAGTCCTGTACTACGTTTGATAAAGATCAAATGTTTTAAAGATATCTTTGCTCAAATTTCCCGTGATGAAACTTTCTTCGTACCGAATGGAGTTAAGGAGAAGACGTTTACTCAAACAGAAAGCTTGGGAACAAAAGGAAATGTATTCGAGGAAGCTTCTGCTACAGGAGACTGGTGATGATAAGTACGCAGTTCCTATTGGAGTTATTCAGAATACTTACAAGGCAAGTATAAAACTTTAAAAAAAAAAGAAACTATGAGATTCAGGAGCAAGAAGAAGACCTGCAGCCGGTGGCGATCAAAGAAATTGCGGGTGAAGAGAATGCCAGAGATGCTTCTACAAAAAAGTCTGTCGCAGCTCTTAGAACAATTTTTCAAATCTGATTATTTGCTTCAGAATTTCCATCGATGATCCTATTTTCGCTCGAAGTACGTGGTGTTATGACACTCCTGGGACAGTCACAGACGACCAAGTCACTTCTCTGTTCACTATAGATGAGCTAATCAAAGTTCTTCCACGTAAAATACTTCTTCCCCGAACTTGTTTGTTGAATAAGGGGACAACTCTACTAATTGGCGGAGTTGGACGTGTAGATTTGATTGAAACCAAAAAGGAACAAGGTGTTTATGTAAGTTTGATGTTTGATTTACTTGATTGTAATGTTTGATGTCTAGCTGACAGTCTTTGCAAGTGATGAACTGCCTCTGAACATCATCGAGACGGATAAAGCCGATGAATTTCTCGATAAGTATTCCAATACTAAAACACTCGTAGTTCCCTCAGGATCAGTTGAAAGAATGAACGATTGGCCAGGATTATCTTCTCAAACATTCTCCATTCAAGGCGTGAAGGTAGTTGTACGTATCAAGAACAGTTAGCTTATATCTAATTTCTAGGAAAAGGGAAGTAAAGACGTAGTGCTTTCATCCATTGGATGGGTGATGGTTACAACTGCTGATCCATCCGTGAAACTGAATGTGTATACGCCTGGCGGTAAGGGAATCTCCCTGAGAAATCCCATCCTTCCATATTCGGCTTCTTTAAGAGGCAAACGGGTCCCGGGCAGCCAATTTTATAAGGTAAATAGCCTTCTACTTACAATTAAACTGAAAACGGTCTGTTTCAGGTTAACCCGATAGAATTTCCTGTAAATACAAGAAGAATCAAAGCTCAGAAAAACAAGAAAAAGTTCTCGAAGAAGTAGTCATATTTGTTATTTGTTTTGTTATGTTGTTGAAAGAATTTCATTTTTTTTCTTTTCTTTGTAAGAGCAACAGGTTGTGACCGTTGAGTACCTTGCAGTCTTCCAAATTTCAGTAGTCTATCGCCATAGTTTAGGTAATATGCTCTGAGTAAATGGATTGGGATAGATGGGAAGAGCTGAAAGCTGACAGCCGTATATGGTTTGCCTCTGTTCTAGTCCTCATTGTATCCATTTTTCTTTGGGCGGGATTGGGGTTGGTTTTCTCCTCATTTGAACATTTCCATTCTATCCACTTATCAGAGTATTCTCAATCGCATTTTGCGTCCTTTCGTTGATCTTAGGAGGGCAACTAGCCCAATGGATAGCTGTGGATTCGAATGGACAGTTCCTTTCAAACTTCATAGATACATGGGTGTTATCTCGCACCAAATGTAGTATCTTCAACCCGAAAGAAAATGAGTTGAAAAATACAAAACCTTGGACAGGTTTGTTGATCTTCCTTCTCATACACAACAGTTTCCTTTCCTTCTAGATCTTGAACTCCCTCCAGATCTGAATAAGAGTTTAGAGAATCTTCTTAATGATTTAGTCACTGTTTATGTGGCGGAATGGTACTCGTCTGGAATCGGGAGCGATCGTGCTTTTCTCGAAGAAATTCAGTAACTCTCCTTGCTCTTGTTCCCTCACTTATCCTATATGTAGTTACCAGCTCCGTTATGCTTCTGCCAAATTTGTAAAATTCATTCTTCAACTGGACTTACCAACTGTTATATCCAAAGAAGTAATTCCTGCAGCTTCTCTGCATATCCACAAAGTTAGCGAAATATGGAAGAACGTGCCTGATAAGGTTCGATTATATTTCGTATTTGAGACGAGAATGTTATTTTCTTTAGAATTCCTTCCATCCAAGCATGGCCGAGGATCAAATAATCGAAAAGATGGTTGATGATCTTCATTATGCTTTGAGAAGTCGTCAGAGCGAGCTGAATTACTTGCGACAAGTTCGTTTGCCTGTTGAATCTGATACCCGACTAGTCATTACTTTCAGGTCGCTGATGTGATGATTCCTCACTTTTTCGATAACTCCCGAGTTTCCGGTAAAGCTCTCGACGATGATTTTGAAGTGAAAGGTGGCGCTACTCATGCATGGGTAGGTCCAGTTTTCTGTTCTTCGCACATCATTGTGTTTTAAGCGCTTCTGGCCATCTCATGCACCTGGACACTTTGTCCGAGAACTTCTCGTAAACTATGTGCTTCTGCCCGTACTAGACCTTATAGCCGATCCAGACACTATTAACACCATTATAATCGGTTCTTTAGACTCACTCGCTGCAAAAACCAATGATTACAAAATTCCAGTAAGTTGAATATGCATTTCAAGTACCTTCTCATTTGTTCAGAATGAACGCGTATCTTTCCTTCGCGGCTTATCCGAAAATGCAGAGAAATTGCCTGACAGTTTGCTCCAACTCAAACTAAGCGAAGTAATTGATGAATCTATTGATGGTCTCTAACATGGGCTTTTGCAGATCCTCCGAGATGAGAAACATTTCAACGTTTTCCGTCAGTACTTACTGGACATCAAAGGCCCAGTGAACGAACTATCGTTTTTAGTTGAGGCAACTCGCATCCACGAGAGTATGCAGAGAAAGGTGGGCAAGATAAGAAGGACAGCTTGTTCAATTAGCTTTCAGGATGAGTCTTCCTCTCAAATATCTTACGATATATGGCAGTTGTATGGTCAGTTCGTTCATGAAGGAGCACCTGCACAAATTCCCTTCGATTCTCACATAGTGCACGACTTCAAACAGACTATGCCTCTGAATGATATGAAGGAGTGGGATAGAATAATAGAAGAGGTTTGATGAGTTTTGGATTAGAAAGCTGAATAGCATGTCTTCAGGCTTACCAAATTGTCTATCAACGCCTACAAGTTGAGTACGTCATCCAGTTTTGTCAGTCAGACGTGTTTCTTGGGTATCGCCAGCATATGTTAGCTTAACGAATGTTCTTTTCCTTCTAGATATTTGTGTGGAAGCCCACCTGTGTCCGTAATCGAACTAATCGATAAGCCTTCCAAAAGAAACATCCGAATCGACAAGATCCCTACAGCATACTCCGTGAAGTAATAGTGACTCATAAGCTCTTCCTATGTTCATTTCTTTTTCAGAAGCTTCGTAGCTAGCAAAATGCGAAGTTTGTTCTCTCTCTCTATGGAAGGATCTATTGAGGGAGAAGAAGTTATCTGTGAGGATTTCTGTCCAGGTTTGATCATACCTGAATAACATGCAAAGAGTATCCAAATTCAGACTCTGGTCTGTTGTCGGAAATGTCATTTGAGTTAGAAAAATCGAGATCTGCAGTATTTGATAAGGTGCCTAGTAATGAGGTAACAGCTTTCAACAATACCTCGAAAATTGTTTCTCTTTCAGCTGAATTCTACATTAACACTTTCGAGTAGTACTAGTCTCCCAACTATAGATATAAGTGAGGATAGCGGTGTAGGCGGATCTGATCATATTTACAACCAGGTAAAATATGTTTTTCGAATTTCCGATACGTGGCAGACGTCACTGGTATTCTGCACGTGCATGGGTTCGGTTGTACTCTGATTGATCTTCCGATTTCGGTTTTTTAATCTCATTTTTTACAGGAAAGCGAGGATGCTTTAAGCCATAATGGTTCTGTAGATGAAAACGCTAGTAATCTGCTCATTATCGATCAAGCAACGAAAAATATGAACTTCTGGACAGTAGGGATTAGTAAAGTTATACCTTTCAAGGAGAACACGACAGGTGCTATCGACATAATCGTAATGAAAGTCAATGAGATAGTTCAGGGAGAACAATTTTCGTTTATGTCATAGATGTAGATAGATCTGATGCTCAGGAACACGAGACGAAGCAATGGATAGTCTACAGGTTTGATTCTGTTTTTGAACTGTTTCTTCATTTCCTCATCAGGAGATATACTGAATTCTATGCTTTGGAATCTAAATTATATGAGTTTCACGGAGCTAATCTCAAGCTGAACATGTTGCCTTCTCGTAAGGTTTGTTACTGGCCTTCTTCTTGAAGCTTCCTCACTTTCTCATTCTAGACTTTCGAGAGAAAGAACCGTGAGTTTATGGAACAAAACAGACAAGTGTTCTCACTTTTCTTATCTTCTCTTTGCAAGCAGGTATACCAAGACTGTCTACCATTTTTAAAAGCTCTTTATAGACTTCTCTGCGTCGTTCTGATCTAGTATTTGCATTTTTGACGAGTCCCGATGAGTTTAGAGAAAGTTTGATGCTAAGTGATTTGAACCCCTGGAAAGTAGTCAAGAAGATGCCTAGCAAACTAAGCAGGGAAAAAGGACAACACCTTCGTCCATTCCTTCTCAATATGTTGGCGAACACTCTTTCTCCTCCCGAAGACAACTATAAGGAAAAGGTTGATGTGTTATCAGAATCAAGGTGCTCGAGTGATCAACAATGTTCAGCTGATATCTGTATTTACAGTAGCATGTCCTCGACTAGTGCAGCAGTAGATCAAGCCAACCCCTCCGTGTATAGCTCCTTATTTGGTAATAATTGTGCCAACATGAAATTCCGTGAAGAAGATCTCCCGACCAGGCAGCCATGGACTCAGTTAGTTTCTGAATAAAAAGTTTCGTTAACCTCTCGTTAAGGAGTCCATTCGATGCATCTATGTTATTGTTACATGACGCTTTAAGCCAGGTACCCGTTTGGTTGGGTAGCATTGTTTCTGCCATAAGGTTTCTCCTTAAGATTCCCATCTGAGTACAACAGAAATCTTTTTAGATTAATGTTTAAATCGAGCTTTGATGGAGCTGTAAATAGTGTTTTTAATCTTCTATTCTGTAAATTATACGAAGGAGGATCGTTACTTGATCAAGTGCAGCTTCTTCACGAAACACTTTTCTGTTCTTACAAAGCTCCCCCTTCCGTCCAGGTACCAGCATCTGCTGCTTTGTTCAAAAAGAATTTGTTTTACAGGAAAGAGTATTACGAGATCAACTAATGAAACAAAGATTGTCAGAATTTATACAAGAGAACGTGCCTTCGTGCATTGCCCGTTTCGTGGGTCGTCAGAGTTTGCGCCAAGCTGTCGACCAAATAACTTATTGTCTACAACATCCCCGTCTAAATAAGCAATTGTCATATGTTCTTTTGGACATCTTATTGAAGCATCTGCTGGAAGTGGATAAGCAGTCTGATTGTAAATAAGTTTTAAAAACAATTTCCCGATGAAATACTTTTTCAATTTCTCATTCTTAGATACTTAAGCATTCCTTTTCTACTAGATTTCTTACATTACTTAATCCACTTATTGACTTACACGAACTGTTAAAGTTGACAGAAATGAACTCTTTAAACCTTTTTACTTTTTCTTTTTGTTTCTTTCGTTAATTGTATTGGCAGTTTGAAAAATACAGATTATCTCCCATATAGCCGAAACAACCATATCAAAAAAACGGATATTTCGGTCAGACAAAGAGATTCAGTGTTCAAATGGAAACTAATGAAATCCTTGGGATTATCGTTTGTCCAATCCTTCCGTGATCCTATTGTGCCCCGTTTTCTATTCAAGCAGTTGGGTGATAATGGCAGGTCTTGCAACAACCGTCTTCCTCACAGTGCTTCTATTTCTAAATGTATATCTATTCCTTTCAAGTAAGTTCTTATATAGATAGCTTCTCCATAATCATGCTCTTCACAGTATATTTAGCCGATAGACAATTCCTGAGTTATCATAGAGATCTCCTTAACCGTCATTTCCCGTCAGAACGCATGATAGACGTTTATCAGAAACAGGTGAGGTGCACACTTCTTCCTACATTCTTTATGTGTTCTCCTTGTTAGGCATTACAAAGAAAAATAGTATTACGTAGACTTATCTCGCAGAGAACGGGGAGTCATGCGGATTTCTACAATACTCTCGTTCCTGAGGTATTTCTTTACCAATAGATGAATATCACTGTCCTCTCTTGAAGGTCTTCTGCTATGAGCTTCTGCGCATAGGATCTTCTACACATGGAGGTAAATGGATTTGTAATCCTTACAAGTATGTGTTCGTGTTAGAAACTATAAAGAGTTCATGAAATTCAGTATCCCTGATAACTGTACGATCTTGTCGGTGGGACTCAAAAATGAAGTTTCCTTTGATATGGATATACAGTTGCTTACGAGCTCCCGATGCGAGATCGTAGCTGTTGATAAGGTACGCATTCTTTCTATTTCTATATTTCCGAACATGTTGTTGTAGTATAACCAGAGTGATGAGACAAAGAATAAGTTGGCAGCTATGAATGGCCGTCTTGTCAGAGCCAAATTAGGAACTAAAAAAGGCGACAACACCTTGGAAAGACTGGTTGTGGATGAGGAAATAGAAAACTTGGAAATCGCAAAAATAGATGTGGAGAGAGGAGACTTTGATAACATCATTCCTTTCCTCGATTCGCACATGCCAGCTCAGGTGAAGCATATTATTGTAAAACTTAAAAATAACCTGAAAACTTACAGATTCTTGTACAAATTCATAACAGAAATGGTTCACCTGGCAAAATTAAGCTCCTACATGACATATCCAAGAGAGGATATTGGCTTGTCGCACATGAGATCAGTGGAACACAATTGAATCTATGTGATTTCACTTTCATTCACGAAAGCGCTTTTGAGAAGTATCAAGTAGAACCACTTGCTCAATATTTAGATTTATAAAATTGTTTAATTTTGATTTCTCTTGAAGAGTGTGTGTGTGTGTCAGATAGTTGTTTGTAGTTTGTACATCTCCTTTGTTGTCATAATGTCTGTAATAAACTATTTAATACGTCATGTGTTTGTTATACTATTTGGTTTTTGGTAAACTGTTGTCCAGCTATTTTTGATGTGACGTAAACTCATCCGTTTAATTGATTCCTTCTGTAGTTCTGATTTACAGTAATTCCATGTAATATCTCGTACTTCATGTTTTTTTTCTGGTTTGTTTATCGTACATGTATGGTTTTTGTATAATTCCTGTATTCAGTACTAACACTGTAACAATATATTCTCTTTTATTTATTTTCAGCAGTGGAGTTGAACATAAATACATTCATTCTCTGTCATCATTCAACTCCAGAAAGATTCACGATTGAAAGACGATCAGATCAAAAAAAATATGAGCAAAATCCGTTAATTTTCTCAAAAGTTAGAATAGATTTCGACTTCCTAAGCACGACCGGTCGGAAAAAGCATCCATAAACAGAAATGAACGGCATCAGCTTCCATTTTTGAGTTGCAACAGTCATGCTTAACGGCTGTGCATTTCATTTTCGCATTCAGGAAAAAAATTCCCCGGCTGTGCTCCTCGCTGTACGTGGAACACGTGAAGCCGCAGTTGGAACAAGCGCATAGCATAAGTCGCTCAGAACTCGATCAATTTCAAAGATTTTTTTTTTTAATTTTTCCCGTTGTTTCACTGTTACTGTCTAACACTGGTTTATGATTGCTTCCGCCGTACGTTTCCCTTTATTATTGGAAAGGAATTCAGCAAATCATGGTTGGCAGTAAGTCATTTGAATGTTTTTTTCTATTTTCAAGGAAATAAAAATGATAATACAAAAGTTTTCATTTATTCGCATAGTACATACACGGAGGAGAAGGTTAGAAGAACAATGACGATGGAAATCCGAAGTAAAAAGATTATAAGTGATGAATAAATTACCAAAGTTTATGGGTCCCACTACGGAGATGGAAAAGCTGGTGGAAGCGTGGACATCTGCGGGCTCCGTTTGAATTTACATATTAATTGACCCCGAAGCGACAGTTTCGTAAATTAAACGCATGAAGCTTCATTCCACGTATGAAGCTCATTAGAATATCTCATTGATGACTCTGATTGCTTGAATTTCTTTTTCTTTTTCAGATGTGTGCTGCGGAAGATTTCGATTCCTGTAAATTAATATTTGAAGAAATATCCAATAAAGGTCTTAACCTAGGATTGAATGCTGTGAATGAAACCGGTGAGCTTTTCTCAAACTAATTGATTTGTATCTTGTTTCAGAGTCTGCTGTGAATAATTTTTTTATATTGAACTCGGAAACATTGAATGAACTGCAACACCATCTCAATACTCTTTCTTGTTTTAAACTGCTTCATACATTACCCGAAGAAACTCTCATTAGAGTCCTTCATATCCTACATCATAATGTAATCTCTGTTTTTTCTGAAGACTTTGACCGTCTCAATTTCAAATGGGTACGTTAACAGTAAACTTACAGTTCACGTTTTCTCGCTTTGTAGGTAGACAATGAAGAAAATTTCATTCGTCTCTCGTCTAGCATCAATGCTGCTGTCGCTCTTCTCAAGATTATCACCTGTCACAAAATGCCTATCAAGGTATGCTAAAAACAAGGGTTATATCAAGATAGAGTATTCTAGGTTCTAAATGAAGACATGATTGCGAGAGTTTCTAAACTTCTCAAGATTATCATGAATCATGTTCTTCGTCCAACTCTGACAAGTACCCGAAAGGAGATAAAACGAGGTTTCAGAGCTTTATACAAACGATCTTTCATTAGTATTTCAGTTGGCAAGAGATCTCGTTCATCTCGGATAGAGTATCCTATCACGATCCAATTCCTTATTAGCAAAGTTTTATCAATCTTTGAATCCTACACTGAATTGGTAGCTCACTTATTCCGAAACAGCTTGATGATAATGATTTAGGTTCGTCAAAACATGCTTGAAAGTAGTTTTGTGATTGCCCTCTCCGAAATAGCCGTTGAGTACTTCTTCTTCTGTGATGCTCTTGATCTGCAAACACAGGCATAAGATTCTTCTTTAATACTTTCATCCAGATTTTTCAAGATCATTTTCTTGTTGGGTAATATTTTCACTGTGATGACTGAAAGTTCGCATGTTGAATTGATGAGAACGATTGTGAACTACATCTGTAATCCATTGTTGTGCAAACGGCAGTGGGAAGCATACAACGATACGAACGAAGTTTACATCGAAGTTCACCTCATCATACAGATTGTGCAAGCTTTAACATCGGTATTCTTTCGTTGTATTCAAACCAAGCAAACTCTATCCATAGCTGCCAGGTGATGAAGACTCTCGTAAGCTTACTAAATCCAAAGAACTTGTCAATCATCGATTGAAGCATGCTCAACAACTGCTGTCTTTCCTTTTTCGTTTCTTTATTCTAGGGTGAGCTACAGGGAAGTATTTGATGAAGTGAGAACTTATAATTATTTCAGGTCCGAAGATGATTACAGAAAGACAATATTCAGTTGCATTGTTAACGATTTTCTTCTGCTTCTCAATAAGCCCGAGTATCCAGTCTGTACCTTCTTTCTCACTGTTCTTGGCAAGCATCTCATGGAAATCTACAAGTAGTTTTCTTCTGGTACAGTCTGACTGTGAATGAGTATTACAGACAAAAGACGCTGGAAGTCTCTATTCGCTCGTATTGTTTGGATCTGATTGGAACGATTGTTATCTCCTTGATTAAGACTCCACCGTACGTGAAAGAGTCTCCCAAGATTATTGAGGTTTGATCGTGACATTTCGGAAATTGGCATTCGGTCTCTTTCAGATCATCTTGTCGAACATCAAACCAGCTGGTGATTTCAAGGTACAGGAGTTTTCAACCAGCCAACTAGTTATTGTTTCCAGAACTTGAACGAAACACAATTCTTGCAAAGATGTCTCATAGACTATTTAATTCTCTCCAATAAGAATTGCATGACTGAGGTGCTCCATTTGATTTCTTTTCTTTAACGGTACTGTACTTAGTTTGCTTTGAAATACTACGTAGTGGCTTGGCAATACCAGTTAAAGGATCAGATAGGGATAGAGTTAGAAAAACTTGCTGCGAAGCAGGCGAAATCAAAAAACGTGAGTTTGATTCGAGATGCGAGCTTTTGTATTTCGGTTTTTAGAAAAAAGAACTGACGCCGAAAGCACCGTTCTCTGTCCAATTTCTCCAGATTCTCTCTCATCCGAAGTATATTCGAAAACGTGTCAAGTACAGGAGTAGTTATAGCGTGTATTAAACGTGCTTTTCAGAGAACAGCCAGCGTTACTTACAGATGTGGAAGCTTCTGTCGTGGCACGACATGTAACTACTGTGGGAGATGCTTACTTGAAGTACGAACCATTTGTCAACTATGTGAGACTGTAGCTCAACAACATTCATTAAGTTTTCGGTTCAGATACTTCATGCAATAACATCGGATTCGCCTATTCTTAGAACCAAAGCTCTTAAATATATGTGCCAGCTAGTGGAAACTGATGCAATGATGCTTCAAACGGTGAAATTGCCACTTGGAAGTTCTAACTTACCATCATTTCAGGATATGTTGTGTCATCTGGTGAAAGATCGCCTTTTGTTGGATCCAAACTCTTTCGTGAGAGAAGCAACTATGGATCTTGTTGGAATGGCTATTGCTCGAGATGCATCTTTTGTCGAATTCTTTGATAATCAACTAATAAGCAGACTACAAGTGATTTTTTCAAAAGATTTATGATCAAAGTGTTGTGGTTTAGGATTCTTCGGTGTTTGTGAGGAAGCGTGTTGCTCGAATCTTGAGGTTTATAAGTGAGACGTACACAGACTCTGTTGAGGTACAGAATGATTTATAACTGTTCATGTTGCTGTTCAGATTCCCAGACTGCTGTACAACTTTCTCGGAAGAGTTGACGATAATGAATCGGTGAAGTCGATACTGGTAGAGACATTCATATCAAGATACTTCTCACATCAAGGCGATGACTTGTACTACTCCAGAGCAGTATTTTCTTCATTTTTTTCGATTTAATTTTTGTGTCTATCAGGCTAACGAGCTCATTTCTATTGCGCAGTTTTGCATGGCCAACAACACTGTTAGTTTGCTAGAGTCATTGATTAAGAGTATAGTAAACCAATTCCCTATAGCCACATCAGGTTGAATATATTGCTTAGACCATGTTAACCCCTTACCCTTACATTCAGCATTATCCAAACTATCAAGACGTCTTATTCAGTGTCTCCTTCCATTCAAGTCAGAAGACGGAGCGCAGAACAGTTTGGCCGACTCTTCGAAAAGCTTTGTGTTCTCAGTTATTTGCATTCTCAGTCGAATTGGAACCGTATGTTAAAGCAAGTATGTTTTTCAATAACTGTTCCCTATGTATAGGCTCTGCCTGACATACTAATTGACCATGTAGATGACGTTATTTGGTTCTTGGAGTATGCCATTAACAGCAATGTCCAGTCGTCGGTAATAAATTTCATATTTAACAGTCACATATTGTTTTCAAGGTGGTTAAAGATATCCTATCAAGTCTTGATCAACTGATTCCCAGCTTGGAAATATCAAATAATGAAAGCTATAGCAGGTGTGTGATTCTATCTGAGATTTAGAAAATGATGGTTCAGAATCCATGCTGCTTGTGGGGTGTTGCTGAGGACAGGAACTAAAACGTTGATTCCATATGTTACTGCCTGCTTAGCTGAAGTGTACCGAAAGTTCCCTTCTTCCGACAATCCGATTCTCGCCCTTTTTCTTGAATCGTTAGGTATTCCAACTATGCACTTCTAAAAGCTCAACTGTTTTCATTAGATCTTCTGAATAAGGTGAAAGACATGTTTGAGAACCCATCCAACGATCCGTTACCGTCAACAATGGATAACATTTTGAGGTTTACAACCAAACAAGAGTCGATAGCGAAGAGCAACCAATTACAGATCATTCTATTCCATCGGAGTCTTTTCTCGATATTTTAACTTTGATGTGATATTTGCTGGGGATGAAACAACAGAGAACCATGCACAAGATGTGAGTATATATATTCATAACTTCAAACAATTATTGTTTCAGATTGATTTGACTTCTCCAAAAAGATCGAAAGGACCTCCGGTTCTCAGGTTCTTTAGGTTTCGAACAGTTTCTATCTCTTATTCGTTTTTTTGATTAGGCGATTCCGTGACAATATCTATGCAGTTTTAATTTTCTTCGCTGCCCGGGGTCATCCAGATTTTTCTGCCAACTCTCTATTTTCTTTGGGTAAAACTCCTTTGTCTGGTTCTTGTCTACAACGCGTTTTTCAGGACATCTGTGTATAACTTACAGTGAGTACATCCAAACAGAAACGGTGTATCGCTTGTATGATGCTATTCTCTCTTCTACAAACCCTAGAGTTTTACCATCGAAAGTTCAAGTAAGCATCTTAAAGTATGAATGTGATTGAGCTCTTTAGATTATCAACAATGTCAAAAACTTTTTGCTCTCGGAAGAAGAGAAAATGACTGCATCCAGAATTGGTTTGATACATGGTTGTCCGGTTTGCATTCATGAAAGTCTGCTTCAGTTGTTGATGGACGAGATGATCTGAAAAAAATGGATGCACCTGAAAATTGCGTCAGCTCCATAGTGATGCAATCGTTCTTCAAGCTCATTGCTAAATCTTATATTCACGAAGACGAAAGCTTACGGACTTCATCATGCGAGGTTTGATCCTGTCTCTGAATTCGTTTCGATAATTTTTTCCTAGATTGTATGCGTTGCTGTTCATCAGGGTTTCATTAACCCAGCTGTATGCGTTCAAGAGTTGGTTGCTATGTCATCAGATCCTTTACTTCATGTCAAAGAGAAAGCTGTGTCTGTAATTGAGAAAGTACAATCACTCCATAAAGACTGTTTTGCGGTATGTTTTTCGATTGGAGGCATTGTCAGGTTCATATTATAGGGGAAAACTGGAATGTGTTGTATGAAGGTTTTCGAGTTGCAGCAACTTGTTCAGAATTCCAAAGCTGCTCGTGGATTCCGAGTTTGCGAAGGGAATGATGACTCCGAATTCAAATCAGTTATTTGGGATTATTACAAGATCTTCTCTGATAACCGTGCACAGCGGAGAGTAGTGTTATCCTCGCTTCTCAGGTGCGAAGAAAATTCTTCGACAAAAATTGATTCCTCTTTAGCTTTTTCTCAGAAGTAAACAGTGAGAAGATGCCCACGGAGCGACTTATGTTCCTCGGCGATTCTTTGATCACGCTACCATTTAAGGTTTTGATCCTTTTTAGGAGTTTCTTTAATCTAATCGGGTTCAGACTGCTGATGAGGTTCTTTATCTCATAAAACATATCGATGGAGTTATAACTCTAGCTGGACAAAGTTATTTGCTTGCCCTGAAGGAAACTATTTTCGAGAAAGAGTTCAAGGAACTAGATGATGAAGAGTCCTTTTTCGATCAAGTACATCTGACAGGTACTCATACTCATCACCTATAGTCGTCAGCTCGTTCTTTGAGCTTGTTTATTGAAATGTTCCAAGAAATTGGAGGAAGTTCTTGAGAAAGGGAAGGTGTGTATCCTCCTACAACATATGAAGATGATATTAACCGCGGCTTATAACCTCAGTGAAAAGTGAAGCACCCTTTCCGTGAAACATTCATTCAGTTATTTCAGAAAAATCAGAGAATATTCCGTATCTGAACCAAAGCTGTATATGAGAAGCATAAGCAGAAGGGCTGTTAGCTTCAGCGATTATAATGATGCTGTGATGCTGCTGAGATTGAATTCAAAGTTACCGAACAAAGATCTTGCCTCGAAGATAGCTTCTCATGTCAGCCAGGTGAACGAACTCATCTCGAGATGTTAATGAATGTTAAACGATTTTTAGTTCCACACGATGCTATTCTCATTAGAAGAAGACTAAAGCATTTTGGTATCCGGAAACAAGAGTCCCGTTCTTTATTTAATACGATTTTCCAATTTTTCAGAAACCTGTACTATCTGCTGTTGAATCGGACAACTCTGATTCTGTTTTTCTTGTAATAAATGCTTGTGAATTATTAGCAACTAACTGACATATTCTGATTCTTCACAGCTTATACCCTAATCCCTAAGGAATGCAACCGTTCTGGACGGTTTCAGTGGAATGCAACCTTTCGGTGCGTCTGGGATAGAACCCAGTCTTGGGTCCAACTGACGTGATTTGGCTGCTCAACAGCTTATATACCCCTGCGGAAACGCGCCACGTGAAAATAATTTTTACGTGAAAAAAAAATGGCCCGGTCGTTCTCTTTCAGGGAAGCGATGAAACTTGGCTCAGAATTGATGAATTCGGGTGTTTTTTGGGTTATTCCATATCAGAATTTCATTTTAAAATTGATAAGCATGTTCATTCACTTTTTAGACAATGAATTGTAGTCGAAAATTTGGTTTGCATATTACTTTCAATCGTCCTTTAAAAAACAATCCTGTTTCTAAGAACGTGCAAATTTTTTCACTTCCCAACGTGCTCTGATGTGAAACGCCTGGAACTGTAATCAATTCAGAGAGAAAAATTATTTTTGTTTCATGATTCTCCTTTTCAAATTTCTTCGAGAAACCCATCTTTCTTAGAGTTTTGTTCACGATGAAGTTGAGCTACTTGTCAAAGTTCAATCTCTGTGTTACCTAAAGTATAAGGAAAGACAGGACGTATTACTAGATTTGATGGTTTTTCAGAACTATTTCACGAGAAATCTTGTAGTCTGCGTTGTAGTTTCGACTGATCTCACCACACTCTGTTTTCATCGATTTTTCTGTTTTTCGCCTATCTTGCTCAACTTACAGGTTATCGATTGATTCC